ATACTTATGGATTTTATGAAAATTTGTAGGTAAATTAAATACGTATATGTTTTATTCATTTATCAATATTTTTTTTTCATTGGTAAATTTAATTTTTCTTGTAGTAAAACATGAATGTATTTGAGAGACCGAGGAATACAAAGTTGAATTTTTCCCTACAAGTCTTCGCCCAACAATCCATCTCACTTGCTAGCATCAACTGCATATCATGCTTTTAATGTGATTTAAACTTGTGACTTGCTCTGATACAAATCAAATGTTTACAACTATGATAAAAGTTATAGCTAGTAGTGAAAATGCAACTTTATTTTCTTATACTTGCATAACAGCTAACACCATGTTTGATGGCAAAATGTTGAACTTGGCTCTTCAAGCCTCTACACAACACTTTGTTTCTTTTATTTATTATTTATTTTTTTAATGGTAGTTAAAATAAAATTTTAGATTTTGACATGTTTGTTGGGACATGGGTCCCGAGGTTGGGCAGGGACTTGCCCAATGCGCATAAGATAGTTGGCAAAGTAGGGGCGAAAAAATGGGGTGTATGCTTTAATCCGGGCTAGGGGCTTTGGTCTAAATAAGGAAGCTTAGTTGAGAAAGAAGGATGTCGTAATTGGGAAATAAGAACAAGATGGTCTAGCATAGTAGAGGCGACATATTTCCTAATTGAAAAATATGAAAGAGATGATCAATTTAATGTGTAAGAAATGGGCTAGCGGAGTAGGGGCAGTAAGATGAGTTATGCTTGACCTGAGCTAGAGGGATTTGGTCCAAGAAGGGAAACTTGGTTGACAAGGAAGGATGTCATAATTGGAAAATAATAACAAGATGGGCTAGCTAGTAGAGTTGAGGCGATAGATATCCTAATTGAAAAATTTGAAAGAGATGGATCAACCTAATTTGTAAGAAATGGTCTGGCGGAGTAGGAGCAGTAAGATAGGTTGTATGCTTGGACTCAAGCTAGGGGGATTTGATCCAAGAAAGAAAGCTTGGTTGACAAGGAATGATGTCCTAATTGGAAAATAAGAATAAGATGAGCTAGCGAGGTAAAGACAACAGATATCCTAATTGAAAATTATGAAAGAGATGGATCGGCATAATGTGTAAGAAATGGGATGTCGGAGTAGGAGCAGTAAGATGGGTTGTATGCTTGGACTTGAGCTAGAGGGATTTGATCCAAGAAAGGAAGCTTGGTTGACAAGGAAGGATATCCTAATTGGAAAATAAGAATAAGATGAGCTAGCGAAGTAGAGACGACAGATATCCTAATTGAAAATTATGAAAGAGATGGATCGGCATAATGTGTAAGAAATGGGCTAGCGGAGTAGGGGCAGTAGATGAGTTGTATGCTTGACCTTAGCTAGGGGGATTTGGTCTAAGAGGGGAAACTTGGTTGACTAGGAAGGATGTCCTAATTGGAAAATAATAACAAGATGGGCTAGCTAGTAGAGTAGAGGCGATAGATATCTTAATTGAAAAATATGAAAGAGATAGATCAACCTAATTTGTAAGAAATGGGCTGGCGGAGTAGGAGCAGTAAGATGAGTTGTATGATTGGACTCGAGCTAGGGGGATTTGATCCAAGAAAGGAAGCTTGGTTGACAAGGAAGGATGTCCTAATTGGAAAATAAGAATAAGATTAGCTAGCGAAGTAGAGACGAGAGATATCCTAATTAAAAATTATGAAAGAGATGGATCGACATAATGTGTAAGAAATGGGATGGCGGAGTAGGGCACAGTAAGATGGGTTGTATGCTTGACCCAAGCTGAGGTGATTTGGTCTTAGAAAAGTAGCTTGGTTGACAAGAAATTATGTCCTAATTGAATAATGGGAAAGATATGTAATAAGGAATTCATATTCTTAATCAGATAAGAGTCCATTAGGAAAAATTTCCTAGGTAACCTAGGGCTTGTAGAGGCTTTGCCTCCATAATTTATACCACATTCTCAATTATGGACATTAGGTAATAATACACAATGTACATTATCATTTACATCTTATTCTCACTTTATTGCCTTGTAATTCTTAATCTCAAAACTAATTCATTAATTGCCATAGTCTAGCTAGGAATCTAAGTTTCATTGATGATAGCGTCACATAAGTTCATCAGTTCATGTAAGTGTTAACATTTCAAATCAACAGCATTGTATGCTTACTCAGCATTTGAGCATGTGTTTATTGAAAACAATAGGTAAGAAATAATGTTACTTGCACAAATTTTGCATGTTAGATATTTTCATTGAGCATAAATTATGTTCGTTGGCCCAGATACATGAGCGGTAAAAGCTCAATCACCTACTTCTAAAATTGCTAATATAAAATTAATACTCTAATCATTCTTACCATTACAAGCTACATAAATGATTCCTTCTCTAATCACTGAAAAGATGACAAAATGGATGAAGCATGATTTTCAATTTTTCATACCTGAAGATCACTTCTCCTGTTTAGACCACTATACACTTTCTCTCATCACTCAAAAAAACTTATTAGTTTCCCTACTATATATGTTGTATAATCTTTCCCATATGTCTTTTTATAAAGGAATTGAATAAAAGAAGATTAATAACATGATTATTCACATTCTTATTTACCAATAATCATCCTTATTAGTATGAAAAAGTAAATTAAAGTATAAGGAGGTTTTTTATTAAACCTTGGTTTACGATAAGACTTATCCTTAAACAATATAATTAAAAAGTAAAAAGAATTTATTAAAATAAGCAAAAAATTAAAAGGGATTCATTCCTTACAAAACCAATAGCACTCTCCCTGCAGTGACTTTTTCTTTTTCTTTTCCCGGCCTTCAAGTCATTCTGACATAAACTTTTGATTCAAATGTTGCCACCTTTCATTCATGATGAATTAATTTCTACAAAGTCAAATGCTCCATGCGGAAAAATTAATTATATTTAAACTATGATATCGTGTTGTATGATGATAGTCTGAGTTGAGGTTGCAAAGCTGTACAGTGGGCACTAGTGTTATTGAATATATAATATATATATAAATAATAAATGTTCTCTGTACATTTTAACTATTAACTTGGGAGATGGAATGCACATTTTAATTTAGTATTAGAGTCAACTCTATACAAAAGGTCATGGTTGAGATTCAACCATCAAAAAAATTAATCTGCCTCATGTACATTTGAGAGAACAGTCTAACTATTAACTTATGCTTTTAATTAAGACAAAAAATATATTTCAATTAGTATAACGTCTCTCGGCTTTAATAAAGACACTGAAAGTCATGATTAAATTCTTTTTAAATTTATTTTATTTTAATTTTGCCACCCTCCTTTCCTTCTCAACTAACATCAATCATTCCACTTATAACTTCACTTCCCCATGCTTAAATTAATAATGAAGCATTAATTTCTCAAGGTTTTACTACTCTCCAACCAACTAATTAACAACATATTTGGCCTACAAAAGAGATTTAAAAAATATAAAATGATATAATATATTCTATAAACTTAATATATATTTAGATGTTTAATTTGGTTTTTATTTCATGAAATAAATTATTTCCTTAAAAAAGGTATTTAATACACTGGAAGTTATTTGGCAGAAAAAGATAGTTGTAGTTAAATAGGTAGCAATGAAACACAAGGCATTTGACATTATATTAGTACCAGGTAAGGGTCCAATCCATGCACAGAATAATATTAGAAAAAATATATTAAGAAAACCTTAACCAATCAAATGTCCTTATTGCAGTCTCCAAGCATAACAAGAATCAAAAGTTTTTATATTTAATTATTTATGGTCTTTTTTAAGGAAAATAAAATAAAAATAAAGCACACATACATATATAAAAGGTGACAAAGGATTGAAGATGGGAGAGAGAGAGTTTTGAAGCTATACAACACTAGATACACAATAGATTTGGAGAAGTTGTTTTTTTACATGCATTATAAAATTAACATAGACATGTTCAATTCTTTATTCTAACATTTAATTATGATTATTTTAGTATTTGATGTTTTTTTTTAAATAATTAATGCAAATATAGTAACTTTTGGGAGATTATATTTTATTTCATATTTATCTCCACTACTGTGAGGGAGTACATCCATAGAGTTTGAGTTTCACCGTCCAAAACTCTTTAACATGATGCACTCTTATGATATTTCATCGTCCAATCTTGTAATTGTATTAATTAGCCGTTTACTTACTAATTGTTGAGTTTTTAGTATTCATTTGGAAATGAACTATATGTCCACTTTGAAAGAATTTTATATTGTTTTTAATTGCAATGTATATTTATTTAATTAATTATTAAATGAATTACATGTTTACTTTATGATTATTAAATATAAAAATTAATTAAAATTTAAAATGAACCCTTTGGGGATATAGGGTATAAATATCATAGGAAAATGTTAAAGTATCGATTGGTACTATAACATACCAATTTATACCAAATACAATTTAAAAGACATGTTGGGTTGCATTTTCTATTGTGGGACACACGTCTCCATAGTAGGAATGCAACCCAAAAACTTTGTTGAGTACTTGAGTTACACTTCATGTGAATCGAAATGGTATCAATTGACACCATGTTGATTTGCATCGAATATAATTCAAGCTAAGTATAATATAACTGATTTTATTATGTATTGTGGATTTGTGGAAAATGTGTTTCGGATCATAACACTAGGAAAATTCGCAATCATTACTCAATGTTGCATGGGATAAATCTCAATCACAAGAATATGAAGTAAATTAGCTTAAATCCTCCATATCTGATCGGTTCAAACAAAGCCAATAACATGCTTCTACTGAAAGTTTATTTTATAATTTTGCAGTTACTAAGACAATAATTTGAGTAACAATTTGACTAAATTTTACTAATATAGTATGGATGGAATGGAAATAGGTAGGTAAAGTTAAATTTGTTGGGAGGGAGACAAGAAGTGGGAGATAAATATTGCTTGTTTTTGGTTGGTTCATAGATACAAAGAGGGGGAGCTTGAAGAGGACCCCATCCACCGCCCAAGACCACTCAGACTCTCTCAAAACCATCTCATCTCCATCTCTTTCTGCACTTCTCATCTCTTCTCGATCTTCCCTTAGCTTCTTCTCTACTTTCTCTCCTCCCCTCAACCTTCTGCTGCTAACCCTAAACCCATAAACACCAAACACTACCAGACCTTCATAGCTTCAAGCTCTGAAGATCTGGAGATCCAGCCAATTATATTGCTGAAAACCCAAGAAATGTTGAAAAGAGAAGATGGAAATGGTGAATTCAGCTCAAGAATTTGTTGGATGGTTACGTTTTCCCGTGGCTGTCTTTCTGTGAAGTAAAGAAGAAGGTGGAAAGAGAGATATATAATCAAGTACATATATATATATATATATATATTTATCAACTCTCCATTCTCTTTTGAATCATTATTACAGACTTTACTGTCGTCTTGTTTAGTCTACTCTGGTACTCTATCAGTTTGCTTCAAGAATAATTTTGGTAGGAATATATTGATTGAAGCGAAAGAAAGAAAGAAAGAAAGAAAAGATGGATCCAGTTTCTGCTGCTGGGCATTCTCAGCTTCCTCCGCCGTTCCACACCAGAGATTTCAACCTTCAGCACTTTCACACTGAGGATGAAGGGAACAGCGCCGCCGCCATGGCCGGGAACAAGCGGCGGGAGAGGGACGAAGGGAGTAACGACAACGCTGAATCTAACGACGGGTTGGGGATTGGTGGCGGATCGGGAGAAGGGGAAATCTCGAGACGGCCGAGGGGACGGCCGGCGGGATCCAAGAACAAGCCGAAGCCGCCTATAATCATCACGCGCGACAGCGCCAACGCGCTCCGGACCCACGTCATGGAGATCGCCGACGGCTGCGATATCATGGAGAGCGTCTCCGCCTTCGCGCGCCGCCGCCAGCGCGGCGTCTGCATTATGAGCGGCACCGGAACCGTCAACAACGTAACCCTCCGGCAGCCGGCCTCCCCCGGCGCAGTCGTCACCTTGCACGGCCGTTTCGAGATCTTATCTCTCTCCGGATCCTTTCTCCCCCCGCCCGCCCCGGCCGCCGCTTCCGGGCTCACTATATATCTCGCCGGCGGACAAGGCCAGGTCGTGGGTGGCAGCGTCGTCGGCGCTCTTTTAGCCTCCGGCCCGGTTCTGGTCATGGCGGCGTCATTCAGTAACGCCGCATACGAGCGGCTGCCGTTAGACGAAGACGAAGGCAATGCGCTTCCTCTCCAAGGCGGCGGAGGAATGGATTCCCCCGGCGGCGTAGGCGGAGGAGGACAACAACAACAACAACAACAACCGCCGCCGCAACAACAACAAATATTAGCGGACCCGTCGATGTTTCATGGGATGCCACCAAATCTTCTCAACTCAATTCAGCTTCCAAATGATCAGGGATTCTGGGCCACCGGCCGACCTCCATTTTAACCAGTCTCGTAGAGGAGAACAAGATCATATCATATCATATCATATCAAGAACAATGGTAAACTAAACTACTTTTAATTTTCTCGAACGCAATCACTTGTTTCATTATCATATCATATCAAACATTGTATGTTCGCAAATATTTAGGTTAAAAAACAGTTTCTTTTTCTTTTTACCATTTCAAGTTTAAATCTTACATTTTCACATTCTTTTCTCTTTAATTTATCATGGATTTTGAGAGTTTGATGATATGCTGCATGCTTGTAATTCCATGAAGATTGTATAAATCCATGGTATGTAGTAGCCAACGCATGAGAGTGAGGTTTCATGGTACAACAACAGAAGTCATAAGTCTGAGGTTTCATGATTTTCAGTGAAACGTTTCCCCTTTTTTAGTGATTGAGCAAAACTGTAACACACATTATTATAGGACAATCATGATTTTTTTTAAAATTAGAGTTATTGCCATTATTTTACAATGTTTTCTTTTTCTTGATGTTAGGGGTATATTATTAGTACAACATAGTCAGCTTAGGCTGCTTAATTAGTGCTAGATAGCCCCATGTAACAAGTCTTCATTGTTCCCGGCCCGACAGAGTATCTGCCGCTGACAAGAATCGATCCCGAGTCATTGTTCCTAAACTTCACCCCTTTAAAACAAGTCTTCATTACTACTATAATCAGGGTTGTCCCAGTCCCCAAGGTCCTCCTAGAGTCTCAATAGAAGAACTAAGTTGCTAAATCTTATGCTTTAATTTGTGAATGTCAGTAAAATAAGACTATTAACTTCTTTAAATTGGTCGATCAGTTTAAATTAAGTTCTGTCTCGGCACGTCTTCATTAATACTTGGATTTAAATTGATTTATGCCCATGCAAGTCTTCGTTAATCCTAGGATTAGAACTACATCCTCCCCACCGTTCTTGCTTAAGGTCTTAGTAGGTGAATTAATCACGGATTTAAACGTTACTCTGTTGTTACTAATGAGATAAAGTTATTAACTTTTTTACATTGGTTAACCATGTGTTCACCTTCCGACTTTCCGAGCCAGGTTTTCATTAATAGTGTTAGAATGGGTTGGTGGGAAACTGAGGGTGATGATCTAAATCAAAAAGAAAAAGAGGTATGGGCACTCATGGTTTCCACTGATCTGATCACCTTTTTTTTTTTTAAATTTTTGGGAAGAATTATATTTGCCTAGGATTTAGGGTTTATCATCTATCTATGAAGAGAGAGAGAGGGGGGAGAGAATAGAGACATAGAGTCACATCTGGATACACGTGCACAGCCACTGCAAATAGTTCCTTTTCAAGGCAAAGCAAAGTAACGTTTAGCGTTATACAGTCTGGAGTGAGCAGACAAGAGACCAGAGACCACCTATTTTGTTCATTTTCCGAAATCTAGGAAATGAGGGTTTTGTGCCATTAAGGAGGGCCGTGGGTGACACTACAAATGCTATTTTTAGGCCCGACAATCTCAACTGTCGTCACACCTCGTTTCATCTTCGACAACGTACTCTTTGAATTTGTGGGGTCTAATAACAACTCGATTTTGATTGTGAATTTTTGGAGAATAAATGAATTGAATATTTTGGAGAGGTTTCTTGAAACACAGCTCAGATTCCTTCCACCAAAGCATATATAAACCCTTTCACAGTTTACATACACCTTATTCCCACATTTGTTTGCTTTTTATGAAACATCCCATGTATTTGTGGTAATGTCATCCAAGCTTATCCACTCTCTTTCTCTTTCCCTCTCCTCGATATCATCTCCAAATTAATCTTCAACTCTTCCTATGGTTCATATTGGTATATTATATCAAGAACTAAAGACGTTGAGTAATTGTTCAAAATCTTGTTATATTATCGATCTGAATATATTATATTAAGAACTAAATAAGTTAAGGGATTTTTCAAAATCTTATAACTAGCCTAATAATACAAGTGGTCTAAGTTTATATTAAGACGGTTAATTATATATTAGGAACTAAAGAAGTTGCTCAAAATCTTACCATCTAATATTTATAAGTGTGATCCAAGCTTATCCCATCTCCCTCAATATGATCTCTAGATTAACCTTCAACTCTTCGTATGTGTCTACTGACTTTTTTTGTTTGAGCCAATTAGCTTTGGATAACCTAGGCTAAGTTAACTCATTGTGATTTTTTCCTACTTAGAGTCATAGGGAAGTTTTACATAGAGCGCATCTTCATGTAATTGTGCAGACTTTCCCGTAAATCAAAGATTGTTATATATTATATCATATTTCGAATTCAATGGCCCTATTTGCTAACATAATTAGCTTACCAGCCAATTTTGATTCATTTGACTACTATTAACTGTTTGACTTAGGTTAAACCATCAATATGAGTGGTTTTGTAACAACTTATTGTTTCAAAATGTTAAAAGTAAAAAAGCTACTCAAAGTAACTTTTTCGATCAGCTTTTTAAGAAAGTCATTTTGCATGTAATTAGCTATCAGCTAATTTACCAAATACTCTTCTATAATCCGCTAATGCTATAACTAGTCAAACCTACTAACCTAATCAGCTAATTATCAATTAACAGCTATTTACCAAACACCGTAATGTCCAAACTAATGTCAATTTTAGGGGTGCAATGAATGGGTTGTAGCCAAAGCATCCCCCTTTTTCAGTTGGGAGTTTGGGGTGATTAAGGTATCCATGATTCCATGTTTGGCATGGTAGGGTGATGATGAATGTACATAGCATTTCTATACTATTCTATCACATAAGTACATACACATGCAATTAAATTTTGGATGTATGGATAGGGTAAGACAGGGGCTACGACATTGGCCCATTCTACAGTGCCGGAGATTATTGCACAGTGGTCCTAAATTATTTAATCATTTATCCGACCACCTATCCTAGATTTCTAGAGCCATGGCTTTATTTGTGAAGAGTCACTCTCAAGTCTCAAAGTATGGCCGGCAGCTCCCAGAAATCTTGCGTTACGTTACACAAATCCTCCTCGTTCTTACATTGTAACTGTTCGTGGCTGTCATTTGTTTATGTTGGGCGCCAAATTGATCAAGTTTAGTCTCTACTCGATTCAAGACATGACGTTGTGACTTACCATAAAAGAACATGATTAAATGATTAATGTCAACATACTTATCACCACATTAAAAAATGAGTTTGGTATGATACCTAATATAGTTCAAAAGCATATATGACTATAACATAGTACCTGATGCAAAAGACATTGATACTAATTACTAAGATAGACTTCCCTTATAATAATAAAACCAAGTAATTCTTGAAAATGCTACCACGGATTTTACATAGAAATTTCTGCAATCAATGAATGTATAGGCAAACAAATTGGAATCATTTACAGTGGTCTAACTTACCAAGCTAGTTAACCCAAGAATGTGCTGGGTATTCATGTCTCACTGTCACTCTACTCAACCCAAAAAAAATTGATTGACCAATAATTCTTGCTACAAAATCATCAGGCTAACTATGTCGAGGTTCTTGACATTATTCAAGAATAATCTATCCTCATTCGTTTCATTTCCGCTTGGAAGCTTGGGCTTGATGTTAATGTCTGGTGTGCAAGAGTCCTGATATCATCTCGTGAACAATCCCGTGCAATACGTACTAGCTCCCATAAGGCGCCCCCATTGATCAAATCCTTCGCATTCACCTCTGAAATTTATTTTTAACAGTTTATGCATATTATGGCAGTCGGGGACTAAAATACCCTTGTTGGGATGGCCTTTAGTTTAAGCATAGAATAAGAAGTACGTAGTGCATACCTAGTTTCGCTAAATGGCAAAGTGCTAGTTCGGTATGGCGCCTAATCGGTGATGCTTCATTGTTCGCGTTCTGAATTATCCATGTCGTTGCTCCATTTTCAATTAGAAGAGACTTCCCCATCTTTGTTCCTGTCAAAGTATATATATATATATCACGATCAGCAATACTTATAGATATACTGAAACGAGCATATATGAGCCACAACTCACCTTGAGTGTGTGCTCGGGATTCGCATTTAGCAAAGTTAGCAATTCCACGAGCAACTTGAGCAAGAACGTCAGGATGCCTGCACCTCACCATTCCCAACAGTGCCTTGATACCCCCTTCACCGCTTAGCCTTGCTTGTAACTTATCTGCAAACCGTATTATATATCCATTCCCACGTTAATGCACAGTGAGATCGAGAAAAAGAAGAAGAACGGGAATTAGTTTAAATGTGAGAATACCATTGCCACAGAGATTGGCAATAGCTCCTGCAACCATTCGAAGAGTTTGAGGATCTTCAGCATTCATTGCTGTCAGCGACAACAAGCTTATGCCTCCCTGAGACATTATAAGCTCCTGATTGGTCTCTGTTCACAACGAGATACGAAGTTAAATAGCAGACATTTTGAATTTAAGCCAACTGAAGCATGTACTCCATCTCAATTAAAAGATTAAGCTGATAGTTGGTTTACACATTAATGGGTGGAGTCGCTTATGGGTGGCGCTGAGATTCAAACCCATGACCTTTGGTCTGGCTCTGATACCAAATTGAAGCATGTGCTCCATCTCAACTAAAAGCTTAAACTGATAGTTGGATTACACATTAATGGCTATATGCTCAACAAAGCCAGGCTATATCTATACTGGAATGTAATGTAAAGCTCACCGTTCATGGCAAGATTTGCAATTGCACCAGCGGCAACCCTGAGGATAGTATCATCGTTTGAGCTTCTAAGTATTGTCAACAACGACGTAAGACCACCAGCTTTAACGATTTTTTCCTGATTCGCCTCTGAGAACAAGATAACAAAAAGTACTTCCGTTTCATTTTTGTTTTCGTTCGAAAAGACTAGAGGATATTACATGTAAAATTTATTACCTTCTGCAGCTAGATTTGCCACGACTTTTACAGCATGGATACGAACATCGGGGTCTTCTGCTTCAAGTAGCGACAATATCTTCTGCAGTCCCACTTGTTCAAAGAGGTTTGCCATTGAGGCCTTCTCTTCATCTCCGGAATCTCTCATCTGTTGATGTATAAATGGACGGTGTGGAGAATCTAGACTGCTGGGCAGTGTCGTAGTCCCTCTATCGAGGTCCCTAGTTGTCTACAGGAACACACAGAATTCAAAGTTTTAATCTTTCTCCAGATTATTTTCATATATCCCTCAATTCATTTTCATATGAAATGGACCACAATGACATACTTTATCAGCTTCAAAACTTAATTGCAATAGACGATTTTGTAATATTGATATTTCTTCCTCGAGCCTTGCTTTTTGCTGTGCCTCATCTTCCAGCATCTTGCGAAGCTTTAAGATCTCAGAATTTCCAGCTGCCTAGTACCATGAAAATATCCTTATTAAACCCTCGATTCATAAAAACTAAAAAGAGGATAATGGTTGGGAGACATCATACCTCTGACCTTTTCCATTGTGCTACTTGATTTTTAAGATCGATAATTTCTTCTTCTGCAGCTTTACGTAAAAGGGTTTCTTGTTGAAGCAACTTTTTAATCTCGGTAGCATCCTCAGAAGCAGAACAAATAGTAGGCTAAACATAAAGAACAGCAAGAAAATAAACACATCAGGCCATTACGGGAAAGTAATATTAGCAAACAAATCGAAACCAGCAAACCCATCGATCAGAAGTTACCTCTCTGCTGGAAAACTTGTTGCAACTGTCATCATGGACAATCTTTCCATGCCTTTCTTGATTTACGGCCCACTGCTCTTCTAGCTTCTTTATTGCATCAGCATACTCTTTTTGGTACACCATTCTCTCGTTCTGTAGTATGCACATAACAAATCATATCCACAGATGATTTTATACAATTTCTTCGAAAATGTTGTCTTCATATCTCATATACAGCAATATTTGATTACCTCCAATAAGTCGGCATAATTTCTTTCTGCCTCAATGATTCGGCTCTGAGCTTCTTGAGCAATCCTCTCTATTTCGTCTTGAAATGATTTCTGTTGCCTTTCATGTTCGGCAATTAGTTTGTCCAATTGAATGTCAAGTCTTCTGGACAAACCTTTGTAGTCAAATTCTTCTTTGATTTTCAACATATTCTCTACCTTCATAGCCTGCACCAGCACAAAAAGATAATATCCACCCAATTACCAACGGTCCAATAATATTGTATCATCCAATTCGAGTCCACAAGAATGTTATGGTTATTTGTTGATCTCTCCCCGAGAAAATTGAGGAGACAGGTCATAAGTTTACCCTTTGTCCAAATGATATGGTACTTGCTGTCTCTCCCCTGTGACGTGGAGAAGGGCCAATGGTAATAACTAACGAAGTTCGTGCAGTGCCTGCAATGGAAATATCACACAGCGTAAAACATTGAACTAAGATACTGCACCTTCAAACAACGATAATGTCTGACATGTGAAACAAGAATTAGGTACGAAAACTGTTAAATCGTTGAACATATGAAAAGGCTATGCTTTATTTATCTGTCTGCTAAGACATACCACCAAATGAATCTCGAAGAAGTCTTGTGAGCTTCGAATCACGTACTGGAACATGAGCACTGTTTTCTGCCAATGCATTAATGCACTTCCCTAATGCGCTCAAAGATAGATTGATAGACTTCGCTTCCTCTAATGTGTGTGCCTCACTTCCTGAGACATATATAAAATGTTAAACATGCATGAAAAGGAATGAAATCAATGAATGATTGATATTTGTTACAAAGGGACTCTGCAAATTCTCACCTGACTTGTCAATGCGCTCAGAACCAGCAAGATCCACAACAACTAGCTTGCTTCTACGAACAATGGGTGCCTTTGATGTTTTAGCCAAGTGAGACGTACCATTTTCACTGTAAATAGTCGAACCTCTACCCTTGACATGCCTTTTAACGTTTACCTGAAACAAGAATGGATTACTGCCACATAAGTTTTGAGAAAGCTTATGAACATATATGCAGGATTGCAGGGTCAAAGAAACCATTCTTTTTGGGAGGGGATGGGGGGAAGAAGAAGACATTAGTTTATAAAAAATGTTAATTTCATTTCATTTACCATCAGTATAGCATGACTGCGGGAAGATTCTGTGTTCAATTTAGTATTAGCAGCGAATCTATGAGCTTCACCTAGTCGAAGTAGCTCCACAAAGCTCATTTGGTCTCTGATTTCTATAGTAGTCGCCCCAGGTAGTGAAACATCTCCCGTTTTAGGATCTTCAACTATGGATATATTGTCATTAGATGGATCAAGGAGATCTTGTACGGTCTCCATATACAGCTGCATTCCATAAGTTGTAAACCAAATTCTATTACAAAGAATATAAGAATTCGACGCAGTGATTCAAAATATAAATAAATGTTTCTTGATTATTCTACGGTGAGAGACAAGAACCTGCAAGTAAGATATAGAAACAGAAACAGCTTCGTTCTGTGATGATAACTCAGCCAGAATATCCTCCATTGCTCGCACCATGATCCCACGATCAGCTGCATTTTCTTCTCCTAGACGCCCCAGAGTGTAAGTTTTTCCAGTCCCTGTTTGCCCATACGCCATGATTGTTCCATTATAACCCTCCAAGACACTCTGCCAAAGTAATACAGAAATACAAAGTAGATTTGTATTCAGCCTAAATGAAACCTACACAGTTCTTGAAGCAAAGAAACAAACTGGCAATACAGACAAATGGAAAGGTCAATTCTTTATCCACAACACATGCAAATTACGCATTCCAATATTGTAGCTGGCTTATATATATACACAAGACAAGATGCAAAAAACTTAAATCACAGCACCTCAACAACAGGCTTAGCCACAACTTCATAAACTCGCTTTTGTGAAGCAAACTCTGTAAGCACTTCATCGAATTCATATGTGTCTGTATCCCAGTTGTTCCTCCGAAGTTTCAACCGTTTGAGCTGAAAGAGGCAAAATTAGTTAAAACTAACTGAATTTTGTCTCAGAAAAAGAAAAATTAAGTATAGCTGGGGAACCTCTGGCTGCAGTTCAACACAATCAGCAAAATCAGCATCAGCCTCCATCTCCTCTGCATTTCGAGGCCGTAATCTCACTGCAACTCGAACACGCCCTGAAACTGTCATCCAATAAACACTACACATGTATAAACCTCAACTGAAATCAAAGAATAAAACTTTCTAGGAATTTGGTTAAAATCAGGTAAAGCTTCAATCTTTACAATACCACCACACTAAAAGAATCACAACCATTTTCGAATTTCATGCATTACAAATTTACAATTGCTAGATACAATCAAAGGCAGTGGGTTTGAAGGGTAGTGAGGCAGGATTAGGAGGTACTTACCTCCGGCATCGTCCTTTCCGGGCGTTGCAGCTGAGCCGGTGCTGTTGCGCCGGGGACCTGAGCCCGGAGCAGGAGGCGAGCTCTTGGGTTTGAAAGACGACGGCTTTGGAGCAAAATTCAAGGACAATGACCTGTTGGTATCCATCTTGGGAGCTCCTTTGGAAACAGAGCCGTTTCTGAAACTCGTCGTGGCCATTTTCGCATCTCTTCCCCTGCCGGTGAGCTCAGCCGTTGTTTCTTTACCAGTTTAGAGTGTGGGATAAAGAGTGGGGCGAGTCGTGACTCGGAGAAACAGAGCGAGTGGGGGTATGGGGGAGTTAATTCGGGTCATGAAGATGTAGTGGTGGCCTGGTGGGTCATCGCCATGGATTTCATTTTTTCCTTGCGCCTTAATTAGTTTTTAGTTAGTGTTTAGTTGAAATTACCAAAAGATCCCTAAAGAATTTTTTATTTTTTTTTTTCGAAATAATCCCTAAAGAATTTAGACATGTGCAATTGTCCATTTCGACCGATTTACCTTTAATAATCTAATAAACTATAACCAATTGAAAAGTGAAAAAAAAAAATTAAAACAACTAATATTGATAACCAATTGAAAAAAAATGAAAAAATTACTGGAGTAATTTTATTTTTTTATCTTAATAACGAATAATAAAAAAGATTTAGTCAATTTGACTACAAATCTCGATTATATGGCTGAATACTTTTTTTCCTGCCCCTACTAAAGATAGTAATGAGTTTACCCAAAACAAATAACTATAATCTCAAGGACTTCACTGTTTGGAGAGTTAGGTTGTATCCCAACGGTCTTTCGTTTTCGAAAGTGTTTATACACAGATGCAATTAAAGCAAAATTAATAATTTTTTTTATTAATCCACTAATTAAATTATATACTAAGACTATGTGTGAGAAATGAGAATACCTATTGATCTTATTGGTTTGTTAACTATAGCAATATAGATTATTTTACCTCATGATTATTTTTGGCAGATTTCATTCAAAGCACAAATTTAAATTGCGGTTGAGGTTTTTTTGGTAAATATGAATTCTGAGTCAACTCGAGTAGGGCGCATAATCTGGATCACGTTTGCTGTTAATGTTAATTATTCCGATAATAATGTTGTACTCAAGCGGTTAAGCCGGTAACGTTCCTGTGAATTTGAATTACAGTTGGTAGTAACTCGAACTACCCAGATTTGTTTAATTACACAAATTCCCCCTATTTTCATTTTATTTGCATCTACCCCGTGGCTATTTTCTTTCAAATTTTCATAATGAAATGAATGAATTGGGATTTGAAATAAAGTGTCCAGAAAAGGATATATGTAATGAGTCGCATATTGCCCGCGTGAATATCTCAGTTAATCATAAGAATAAAATTAAGGAACAATGATCCGGATTGAATCTATAATTTTGTCAATAATTACATGTTGCATGATTTGAAAGAAACCTTAGACCAAATTACACGAAGCCTATAACATCATTAATGAAGTTCACATGCATTCTGTCAGTATGTACCAATCTCAATAATTTCCCACAAAAGAAAGTTGTTTTCTTTAAGAAGGAAGCAAGCAAGATCTCGTGCACTTGTAAGAAACTCCACATTCAAACAAAACCCAAAATTCCAGATAATGATGAATGAAATGTTGAAGGGGCCGGCTTTCTTCAATTCGAAAGGGTGGTTGAGTAATCTGAGTATGATTCTTATACCAGAAAATTATAAGTTCAATTTTTGTCAATATTTTTTTGGTTGAGCTCGTTACAGATAATATCTAATACAATTTAAGTGTATATTATCGAGTAATGGTTCCAGATTTCCTTCGTGATCTAATGAAAAGAAAAAAGGCTCAAGGGACATTGAGTCTGTCGCTGAAAGTGCAAAAAGTTAGAAGTGATGGTTGGCCCATTCCACCCACAAAAGTAGTAAAAGGTTGGACTTGGAAGGCGCCAAGAGGACTTGTTATGTTTAAGATGAAATCAACTTTCATTGTTTGATTTAAACTCTTAATCATTTGAATGCCCACTACTTTCTTTATATATATACACTAAAGACTTTGTTCAAGCATCCCACTTTATGGCGAGTTGGTGAAGATTTTTGGGTCTCAAATGTTATGATTTAATTTGCAAGCGATTTGAATATAGAATGCTAAAATTAAGCACGGATTAATTAAATGGATGATAAAATAAGATGGTATAATTTTATATCGAGCATACGAACAAAGAGTCTTTTTAGTATTATATAGTTGTAATAACTTCTAACAAATAGTTCAAACCTTCTATTTATACACTTTAGTATATTTGTCATTTAGTTACAATCAATAGATACGAAGCACATAGCCTAGTATGTCTCAGTGCATGTTGTTGTGCTTCCTATTTTGCAATACTGAGACTCTCATGGCGTTGGCGATAAATTGATTCTCCACAAGTTTGAATCCCAAATTTGATGGCTCCTCACCTCTCCTGCCTAGAAGACGGGTGGAGGAGATAAATCGTAGAATATGTCTCAATTGACCTATAAGCTTTTAAGTGCTTGTATACTAATATCTATAATAAAGTCAAATTCATACATCTAAATTATTATTTTACGTTAGTTAACCAGTTGAGTTTTAGACAAGACATATATAAAAATTGATTCTTGATGGGCATTGTTGTTATATTGTTGATTTAAGACCATTTTATATAACTCTTTAGCGCATAAAATATTGTCTTGTTTATTCTTACATGCTCTTTTTTTTTTTTTTTTTTTTTGAATAATTAATTACATGCTCTTTCATTCTTCTAGCTCCTCCATCTTGACTAGGACAATTCAATGTAAACTATAGTTTAGGACTTTAGGCAACTAGTCGAAAACATCATTCGACTTGCAAATGGTAATATGGTATGGTCGGGATCTGATTCGTTCTCGTATCAAGAAAACATTATCCTAATATGATTGAATTTTGATACGATATTGGAATTTTAGAACCTTTGTATTTTGTCTGCCTTAACCATAGGATTAGCTTTGGCTATGGCGTCTCTTCCTTGGGCTTTGAAGTCAAACGTGCAATCATGCTTCTCCGGGTACCTATGGATCCCACAAAATGTGCGCCCGCATCTGCACTCGAAACCCATCACTCTCACCTTCTTCTTGCAGGCGTCACACCTATTCGGCGGCGCCGCCTGCCTCCCGCTTTGCTCCGCCGTGACAACCGATGCAGACGTACTCGACGGCGGTGAATCGGGTTGAAGTCTCGAGTACAGCGCCAGCTGCTCCACCGCAGCTTTGGCCAGATCCTCTTGCCGCCGCTCCTTCATGCGGAGTTCCCGGAAGCACCTGGTGCACAGCCCCATGGTCGCCGCCGTGCCGAAGAAGCCGCAGCCGTTGGCGCAGAGAGCGGTCTGGGGCGGCGGGAATCCCGTGCCGCCGCTCTTCATCTTGTTCCCATCTGAACCCATGCTGAATTAATTGAATCAAACGATTTGATCCCTCAGAAATTAAAGAAGGAAAGTGGAGATTAGTAGAAATTTGAATTATTATGTTTTAAAGATTGAACCTTTAAGTGTGTGTATATATAATATAGTAAGAGACTTTTCTTTTAAAAATCAATTGGTTATGTTTTTCCACGGCAGCCGCGGTTTTTTGTACGGGGTGACGGCGGAGCACACGGTAAGGAAGAGTGGTCACGAGTGAGGTAGAGCACCCACCTGATTCATGAGCCGCTGCCTTTGAGAGCGGATACACAAACACAATGACTCTCCGGTCTCCACACGGCACAACTATTAATCTATCAAATGTCGTTTTCAACCTGGTACACAAGTAACACAACCACTTTTTAAAAAAAAAAAAAAAAAGAAAAAAGAAATCCAAGAGGAGAGAGGCCCAAGAGAAAAGAAGGTCAAATTCAGAAGGGAAAATAGCCCAGAAACAGAAGTCGGTTCGAGTCCGGGCTCGGCGCGAGTGCAAGCTCGGCACGGGTAGGCAGACGGCACGGGGATAGCTGTTGGAGCATTAAAAGGGTCATTTAAGGAGCTCGGTCAGCAAGTCGTTGGAAGCCCAGTAACAACAGCCCAACGGCCCTTAGAGTTAATAGACCACTTTATGACTTTAAATGTATGTTTTGAATAAATCTGAAGAGGCCCACTATAAAAAGGACTCCTTAAGAATCTAAAAGGGACGGCAAGTTGAGGCCAAGAGAATATACACACTTACAAGAGCTATCTTTTCCTTTCTATTTTTGAGAGGTGAATCCACCAACCAAGGTTGTGTTGGAACTCTCTGGGCCCAAAAACCCTAAAACCAACAATTATTATTATTATGAGATTTGCAACAATGTTGCTACTTCATTATGAGATGCTAGATCATGATTATGCTAATAGTTTTATTTCAAAATGTTAACTTTTTTTAAAGACAAAATGTTAAATTTTAATATGTAAACAAACTAATTTAAATTTTATGAAGATGTCATTCTTAGTCTTTTTACCTTTATTAACTTATCAAAAAGCTAATTTTACCAAACACTTTCAATCATAACAGCTAGCTTAACAGCTCTTCAGTTTCCAACTCCGAGCTTATAGCTTTTCAACTTTCAGCTCTTTTTAAGCTTTCAGCTCCTAGCTTATAGCTTTTCAGTTAGGTTTGCCAAACAGAGTCAATATATAGCCCAATGTAATATACTTGCACCATGGTTATACATATACGTGCAAAACTCCCTTACACCAAAAGTGGTGGGGTAGGTGAATTGCGTATAACACAATTATGTACATATAGAACTAACCCAGCAAGTAGCTAGTGCATGTATATCAAGAACCATAATAATTTTATTCTCATAATTTACAAGTTGAATATAAATCATCATATATACATAGACCTCCAATATCATATTTGACATTATATTGTTATCATCATAGCTAGTGATTATTAATGCTGACAAAGAACGACAAGCTAAGGGCAAGAAAGAAAGCAGATTATCAGAAATGGCATCAGCTGCTACATATATGGCTATGCCCAGTGTATACTCTATCACCCAGAGAGCACTTGATTGTCCTTCACCATATTCACACATACTTCCAAACTAAACCATTCCCTATGTTGCGCTGCGCTGATTTCGAGATAATTCTATTCTAGATTTTTTATTTTTTATTTTTTGAAAATAATTTTATTTTAGACTTGGTGCTATATTACATTTAAGTGTCGGCTCGTAGATAACGCTTCGTGGTGTAATAGGAAAATCTATATATCATAGCTAAGTGATTAGCTCGACAAAGGATTGGAAATGGAAGTAACCATAGCGGAGTTGGCCTGGCTTGATTGGTAACTAAGTTTTAAGTTAGCTTGGCAATCACAAGGTTCCAATTAAGTTTGATTCTCAATGGAACTGCCTATTGGCCTTTGTTCTTGGCTTGAGCTGGGGGCGACTTAGACTAGTTTACCTTATCAGTCCTTTGCCGGCTAGCTAGATTACAAGGCGGACTTCAATTCACTCAGAGTACACCTGGCCTTTGAGTAGTAGTTGTGGGCTCTCCCTTAAATCAAAGGATTGGAATTGGAGACAACCCTAATTGATTGAGTTAATTAGGCAATTGTCTTGCGTTGGTAACCACAAGTTTCAAGTTCAACTCTCTATGGAGATGTCTATTGACCTTCTTGATTTGAGTGCTAATTATATCAACCTAGGCTGATTTACATCATTGTAGTCCTTTGACGACTTACGAGTTTTTTTTAAAAAAAAATTAAAAGATTAATTGGAATGGGGGTGCATGATTGTTTGTGCATGTGAGCTACTTGACACGAAGAAAAATGATATTTATTATATTATATTATATCATATGTAGAGTACAATTGAGAGGAGATGGCAAGGGGAAAGTTTGATGCCCTGGTTGACTATAGCAAATGGAAGTCTGAAAACTTAGGTATATATATGGTCCATTCTGCCATACATACACGATGGTGGTGGTATAGTTGCCGTAGTAATTAAAAGAAAGAATAAGTGAAGGTTTGAGTTGAGTGGCTGTGCCACGCTTCAAAATTACATTATTAGTTGTCTACACACCTAACTACTTAATTCTCCATTATTTGGGTCACGAATGAACGATCCCGCCTCTAAATAGCTCTCACTCCAGACTTTTCTTAATTGGTTTCATTTGAACCTTATCAAGCAATAAGTAGTCCTCCTCCAAGTAATCCTTTCGCACTACGCACGGACCTCTCAACGAGAACACAAAATGATAAAACACTCAAGTTAAAACCCTAACTCTACCCCAAAAACTAACTCATCATGATGAGATGTTTGACCCCAACTTAAGTATCACTCCACACAACAAATGTGAGATTGTATCTGCAGGTCAATCCAGATTCAAATCACTTGCAAATTTTGACTTTTATACAACATAATTAAAGTCTAACTCAGAATTCTTTATCTATCACCGCATTTTGATTATTTCATCACAAACCCAATATCTTAGCTAGGGTAATTAATTACTAGCATATATGCTCATCTTGTGATAGTGAAATGTCAATATTTTATAGAGTATATATACACTAGAATATAATGCATGTTGTATGCCATCAAATATCTAAAGACTTTGTAGAGAAGAGTTTAAACATGCACTCCACCTAAAATTTGACTCTAACATGCTTGCGTTCAAACAAAATATAATGAGATATATAAATGGAATATTATAATATACGTACTCTTGGAAGTGTAAAATAATTTTAAGTGTCATCATCGTCCCCTCAAAAAAAAGCCATGGAACCTGCTGCGGATAAAGATTTCTAATGGTCCACATGGAATGGCGGACGTGGTGAAGACGACGAGCTAAGAATCTAAGATTGAGAGAAAAGGACGTACACTATCTTTGAGTTAACAATCAGTATTTAAATGTGTATTCTGAATGAAAATCATTTTGTACATTTGGTTAACTCGTAAAAAATTATTTACAAAGAAATAAACTAATTTAGATTGTTTATAATAGATTTGTTCAAATTAAGAAAGTAAATAAATTGTCAATGATCTTGTAGTCTAGTGGTATGGATTGACTCTTTTAAATGAGAGGTCATGAGTTTGTTTCCCAATGAGGACTGTATTGACTCTTGTGATATGTCATTAAGAATATGTTTTTATTATTATATAAGAGAATGAAGAATTTATGAATATTGATCATTGATTATTTGAAGCTGATAAATTAAATAACATCTCATTACACAATAAATTTTATTGTCTTGTATTAATCAATTCAACAACGTAACTCATAAATTATATTCATATAAATAAAGAGCCATGCCAAGATGTACAAATTAAATGATAAAGTATATCCTGCAGCAAAGCTATCAGAATTGGATCGGAGTATAGCAGCATATATACATCATGTTTTTTAAAATTTTCTTATTAGTCATGAATTGCAGATAGACAAATCCAAAAAAGAGGCACTCAATTACCAACAGGGAATTGGTCACAGGTACACAACAATCATAACTCTAACTCATGCCTACCTTCAATTCCTCACCTCATAATTCTAGCTTGTATAAACTGCACCAATCCTAATCTCATTTCTCCTTGATCTTAATTCGTCTTAATTATCTTTTTTAATGACGAAGGAAACTCACAATTACTATTCAAAAGTATGCACTTGATAAACTTGATATTGGTCTCAGTTTTCAGATCGGCAGCCACGATGATGGTGGTGAGGATGAGGAGGGAGAGAGTAGCAGTTTTCTTTGGGTCCGAATGAATCAATAATGAAACAAGTTATCAAATTATTTTTATTTAAATTCCATGCCAGCATTATGGAATGATTACCTGATGAAAACCTGAATAAAATGCTAAGAGAATATAATAGTAGATTGAGCTATTTGATACTTCTGCCCCATGTATATATATATATATATATATATATATATATATATATATATATATATATATATAAAGTGAGATATGTAAGGGTTTTGCAGCTAGTCAGATTGTTATCATTAAATTATATGCACTCATCTTTTATGCATATAGGGACAGAATGGCCAAATGAATTGATAGAAATTAATAGCATTGATTACAAAAAGTAAGTTGAGCTAATCATAATCATAATATATATAAGAGAAGCAGTAGGCATATATATCAGAGAGGGACATGCACTTAATTAGCTTCTTCATAGCCTTTTGAAATTTTCTTGCATTGAATTCATATATGGATACAATACACATCCCTCCTGCTATCTATGTAATCATTAACCCTCTTCCCCATCATTGCCATTCTTGACAATCTCAACCACTCTCTCTCTTCAAATTTTTGTCTATAAAAAACGAAGTTTGTAATCCCAAAGATCCTATAAATCACGATAACTCAGTGTTTACAAGAAGCGACCCCAACAAAAAGGTGAGGCTACCCGGACTTAATCTTGCTGTATCTTGCTTATAATCTGTCATCCAAAAATAACTGAACTATCCGTTTGGGCATTATCTCTCTTAAATTTCTAAAGTGCAGCCACCCAAAAGCACCACTGTACTGTACACATGCAACCCCAACTATTTATATATGGTCTTGTGTGATCTCACTTCCACCATTTTCTTTCTTCCTTCCACCTTCAAGCTAGAAAGAAGCAGAAAGCTAATTAAGAATGTGTGTGGGTTCTTCAGAGTGGATCATCTGCAGTATTTCCATGCATAAACGTCGCCCAAAGCGTTCAAGACTCCAGCTTTATCGCCTTAAAAGGTATAGTACCATACTGTAAATTTATGTATCTATTTTACATATTTATGGTGAGAAATGTGATATGATTATATATAATTGATTGACAGGAGGAAGAGAAGAGAAGAGGAGGAGGACATGGAAGTGAGAAACTTGAAGCTGTACATGGAAAACATGAGTATACTAGAAGAGAACGAGAATCTGAGGAAGAAAGCCAGCTTGCTGCATCAAGAGAATCTTGCTTTATTGTCTCAGTTTCAACACAGATTCTCCTGTGTCCCCTTACCTCCTGCTGCGCTGCTGTCTCCACTCCCATGAATCTTCTACTCCATCATTCATAAAAACAGTAAACAACCTTCTCGTACTACCTCGTACCATATATATATATATCTTGCTATATTAATTTGTTCATCACTAGTCACTACAATATATTACCTCTGTAATTCCTGCTAATAATTAGTCAATCTGTTTTGTTATATGTGTTTAGTTTGATTAATTAATTTGACTTAAACCTTTGCAATTCAATTCGGTAATAGTGGATGAAATTTATTTATTTAAATATCACATTATAATTTCTTTGAATGAAAACCAAAAAAAATACTACGGAGTATATTAAATTTGTTTACATGCACAAAGTAAAGCGGTAAACCATCTTGCTAGTTTAGGAGGAAAGGCTCGGTAGCAGCCATGTGGGGATTACGCTCAAAGTTTTTAAACGATTTACTTGATAATCACACATCTCTAAGAAACATTTATTAGTTTACCTTTTGTCGTAAAAATTCTTTGTATTTCACACATTTCTAAGAAACCTAGATTAGTTTACCTTTCATTGTAAAAATTCTTTGTATTTCAAGTATATATTTTCGTCGCATAACATTAACGGATAATTAAAATCCTGCTAACATGCATATGGCTACTAAACAAAAAGATACCCTATTTAATGTATATGTTTCGGTTATACAGATTGACCATTGAATAGTAAATATGACAAATAAAACGATCGAGACAAGCGAGTGAAAAATGAAAGACTAAATGGTAAAAAAGCTAGATTGATCAACTCACTCTATACAGCAATTAGTATGTTGGGTTCATGCAGTTCTCCTCTAAAACATTTTACAATCTCAAAAATGCCTTAATATAAGACTAATGGTCAAGAAGGATTGATCAAATCACTATATATGAAGTTGTCAAACATTAGTGCTTTTGTTCTTGTTCCAAAACATTACAAGAGAGAAGCTAATGTTGTCAAACATTAGTGCTTTTGTTCTTGTTCCAAAACATTACAAGAGAGAAGCCCATTAGCGACATTATCACAACCTGCAAAATGGAGACGAAACCGATGTTTATATAAGAGTACGACAAGATCATGAAGCCAGAAACAGTTTGCGTCTATGCTTACAGAAATAGCCGGGGGTACACCAACGAGAGGATCTTGGAAAAACTTATTTGCGAGCGCAAGGGCCAGAAGACTGCTCTGCATCCCTGTAACATCAATGCAGAGCGGGGCATCAATTACGACCCGCTAAAATATTTCACATAAACAGCCATACAATTTAGCGTGTTATCAAATGACCTGTTTCGTAGGACAGTGTTCTCTGCAGAGGTTTCACATCTGGAGCATCACGGAAGGCGGCACCGGCAAGGGTGTAACCGGAAATAAACGCTGACAAATGAAATGCGATCACAAGCAATAAAACTGATAATCCAGACGGGGATACAACGGACTGTATGTTGATTGCAAGTGGAGCTCCAACGCAGAGAGAAGTCACAAACACCGATAAGGGGGGCAAAAACGGCCTAATGGCGTTACAAACCTGGGGAAAGAATCTATCGATACAAACCTGTTAAGAGTCTCACATTGATAAAATAAGAGAGAACATATGGGTTTATAAGGCCATGAGATAGACTAGCTAATTGGTTGGATTCAATCTTTTAGTGTGGTTATTATAGCCAATTGAGTGACCCTATCCCAATCTTACGTAGGAACATGATCTCGATCATTACCTATTCAGAAGCAAGCCAGCAGCAACGGGTACAACTACGATCTGAATAATATTGGAAATCATTCCTATTACGTCAACCGGCAATCTTTTCCCGATCAACAATAACGATAGGAATGGCGTGACAAGGGCTGCAGTAGCCGTAGATAACGATGTCATCACGATACTAAGAGGAGCCATCGGTGGATCGGTTAGAAAAGTGGCATAGTTGGAGAGCTGTGCACCACTGACACATGAAGTCAACATAATCCCCGCAGCTGATACGTATGCTTACAGAAGTTAGTCAAAAAATTGAAACATGTGATCCATCTCAACTAAAAGCCTAAGCTGATAGTTGGAGTGCACAGAAGCCTAAGCTGATAGTTGGAGTGCACAGAAGTTAGTCAAAAAATTGAAACATGTGATCCATCTCAACTAAAAGCCTAAGCTGATAGTTGGAGTGCACATTAATGGTTATATGCTCAACAAAAAATACCATATTTCTTTTCTAGTAAATCAATCGGGATTTTTACCTAAGGAAGTCGGCAGACCAAATGCCGCTATTGCAATTGTACCAAATAGATAGCCAAGTAGGGGCTTCACAACAAATTGGCCAATATAACCAGCTAAAATTGCCCCGGGTCTGTTGAATGCTTCCAGGAAATCCTTTTCACTTGAATTGACTCCAACCGCAAACATCAAAAACCCCAATGCAGGGGCATAATACCTGGAAATGGTAGAGCCAAAACACGATCAAGAAATTACGCTTCTCTCCTTCACGACTCAACTTCAAATTACTCTTTTTCTGTTGCAGTTTAGAATGATTAAGTGCATATGAAACAAACTTCAAATTACTCTTTTTCTACGGCATTTCATAAGATCTGAGAAATGGTATGCAGACCTGCTAGTAAACCACGTGAAAGAAGGCGGATAGACGAGAGCCAAAATTGTACTACCAAGAACGACATGTGGCAGGATGGCGTTAGCACCCCTCAAGACCGTCAGGAAAGAATTCTCCTTTGGCTTAAAAATCTGAAAAACCTCAAATTTTTTAAAGAAATTAAACCTCTCTCAATGTTTTATTCATATATTGATCTGGATACAGAACTACAATCCACAAATACTCTACACTTTAGATTTCTCATAAAAGATCATGCGCACAGAGCCATATCATCGTCTAATATGATGTTTTTTACTCGTTTTTTATCAATCTTTTAGCAAATTTGGAGTGGGGGATTTGCAAAAATTAGATTAAAACTTAACTTTCTTACTGTTCAACAGTAAGGGGGGACAGGGTTAAAGACTGCTACACCAAATCACAATCTTCACTCCCTCTAATCATCTCCAAAACAAACATTAAAAATAGTCTAAAACCCAAAAGACGTTTCCTTAAACAAAGCACACAAGAAACTTTTCATCTCTTCTTTTTTCATGTCAAAATGGGATCTTTTGTTAGTCGATTTCTGTTGTCCTCCAGGACTTTTTCATTCCAATTTATTTCTAAAGATGGGGCTTCCAAATAACTAGTAGCTTTTCACACTGGTCCTATGCATCTCTTTGCTCAAGGCAATAAATAATAATGAACACACAAACAGGCAGAGTATTTTCAGTAAACTATAGATAAAAGCATTAGAAAGAAGACCTCAGATGATTCAGCTGCATAATTAGACAACGATTCCGGCCTAATTGAATCTGAGAGATTCTCTGATACACATCTGCTAACAGGTAATCTTGAACTCCTAGCTGAAATCATCCACAAAGGAGCAAAGATGGCATATTTACATAAAAGTATAAAACAATAATTAATGTATACAACATAAACTGAAAAGAGAAAAGCTTCAAACTTTAAGCACTGGGAAAGCTTAATGGATATCCTAACTATTCTTGTTCTGCATCAATCAAGTACACAGAAAATCAATGTTTGCACAAATGTAGATATAGAGAGCAAGGGAGAGAAACCTGAAGAGTTGAAGGATTTTCTGGGAAGAGAAAGAAATGGGTAATGAAATTCAAGATTAATGCAAGGGAGGGGTTTGGGGAGTGAAGGGTGATGGATTTTGAAGCCCTGATTAAGCTGGGGTTGAAGGAGCTTGACGCAAGGACTCATCTTTTTTTGCTGATTTCCTCAGTGCAATTAACTGAATACGCTCTGGAACTGAACTACTGGGCAGAATGAAGCACTTGTTGACTATTACTCGTATCTTGATTCTTGGAGCACTTGAAGAAATCACAAAGGGGAATTTTTTAATGAGGTTCCGGCACCACCGCTGGATCTTTGAATTCTCCTACTTCTGACTTTCTGGAAAAAGAAAGTAGTGGGCGGAACAACCAATTGAAAATCTAAGTACGGAGTACTAATTTAGGCAATGAGGAAATTTCAATTTTGGTCAACTATAGGGGTGTTGTTAATTTCAGCCTCGATTTTAAAAAGTATCAATTTAGGGTGTGTTTGGTTGGTGGGTTTTGCCCATAGGAATGTGTATGAAAGTGATTGTTGTTGTTTGGTTAATAGATTTTTAGAACACCACTATGGGTTTCGAATACCCCATCAATTGAAAAACTCATACCCAAATACAATAAGGGTTTCATTCCCTTATTCATTCTTAACCACTACTATTAGTAATCATTCTCATTCCACCCTACTACCAAACATGTTAAATACTTTCACCAAAACTCATTACCATTACCAAGTATTTGATACTCATTCCGATTCCAATTCTTATGTGCGAACCAAACACACCCTTAGTACTATAACTATGTAATTTTTGTCAATTTTGGTCACTCTGACCAAATTTCGCCGAAAAATTTTAATAGTTAAAATAATGAGGATATTTTGGTTATTTCAAGCCTCTTTTCTTCTTCTCTGGCGAGTCCATCACTTTCTCTCCCGTTTTCGACGTTCTTTCTCCCTGTAAACCCTATCTTTAATATCATCAAGCCTCCTTTTCGCATCATCTTAGTTCATTGCATTCGCTAGAAACGGGAGAGGAAGGGATGGACTCGCCTGGGAAGAAGAAAAGAGACGTGAAATGACCAGAATACCCTCATTCTTTTAACAATTAAAATTTGGTCGGAAATTTGACTGGAGTGATCAAAATTGACAAAAATTGCATAGTTAAGGTACTAAATTGACACTTTTAAAAGTCAGGGAGTGAAATTAACAAGACACCTATAGTCATATGACCAAAATTGGAATTTCCTCTTTAGGCAATGCATTAAACCATTAACCACCTATGCTCGCACCTAATGTTTTTGCAATTTGATATTTAGGGGTGGGGTTGATTATAGATTCTTACATTGATAATCAATAATAAAAATATTTGATTTTGAATAGAAGGTCATATTTATAGTGAGTGGTGATGAGTCGATGATGTTTGACTTTGGTGATTGATTTATTGTTTAAGTGCGTTTAAAGATTACTCACGAGTTCAATATCTATGTTATTAGGTTAGTAAGAGTGCGGTTTTCAAAAAAAAAACAAAGGTTAGTAAGAGTGCTCTATAGCTCTATTAATCGTTATTAATAAATACTTTTTCTGTCCATTTTTATGTCCCGTTTAATATTTTTTAGTCAAATTAATTTTTAATTATTTTAAATTTTACTTTTTTTTTTGTTTAATAGTAATTTTATTTAGTTTATAAATATATAAATTTTATATATTAATACTTAGCTTAATCTCTATCTCTATCTATATTAAAGCAAAACAATATGAGCAAAAAAATCCCGCCCAAATCTAACGGCGTGGTTTAGAGCAAAGTCAAATATTTAATGCTTTTGCGTAAAATACCGTGTAAAAGGAATCGGTTACCAAGGAATTTCAAAAAAAAAAAATAGAAATAAATCTGGAAAATCGAAGCGTTGCATACTTTATTACAAATTTGAAGTGATTGAAACCTAATAGAAGACATCCTTTATGAAAGGTCTTATTGTTTCAAAAAGTGATTGTTCCAAAGCTTGCCTCTTCATTGTTCTATAAAAATCCTGAATAAATTCAACCTCTATATAAAGAGGTCGAATCAGGTAAAGTGGTATCAATCACTTCATACTGCGAAGAAGTAAAGTTCTGTAGAAAGAAATTTGCCGTCTCAATATGTTTCTGTGAAGCAAAGCAGTCCACTGCACACCAAAAGAAGATGGGAAGGTTTTGATTAGATGTTAGAGGATGCGAAATGAGTAGTAAAGAATGCTTATTGCATAATGAGGAGGTAAATTCAATCTTTATTTATTTTTTTTCTATCCACTATAATCTGATGACACATTCCACATTGAAGAATCAAGATCATGCAGATGCTTTAAATACAATTGCATGTACACATATAATACAAATTGCAGGATAGAGCACCAGATTGTAGATTAAAGCTTCCTTTTTTCCCTTCTTAGGTAATATTATCTCCTATGGTAATACTATTAACCTTTCATTTAAATATTATATGACCTATTATCTATTAGGAGTTATAAAGCAGCTAATTATTTGCTCCTATATGAAAGGCTACATTATAAGTAATATTCTGCATTTTTAAGTGTTTTTGCAGGTCATATTGATTCTGAAAAAATAATTTTTAAAATGATGATTTTCAATTATCTACACTGCAAAAGTAGGTGAAGTAGGTGATATCAGGAATATTGTTTTGGTGCATTTTATTGCTTTTTGAGTGTTTTGCAGGTAGATATAAAAGAAGCAGATTGAAGTAATTTAATTTTTAACCCAACAAAAAGAATAAACAGGTCAACACATTCTAACCACATGAGGTACATTATTTTTTTCTTGCAAAATATACATATCATTATATTTTGAAGGAAATGTCAGTATCTTCCATTTTTTTGAAAAAAAAAAAAGTGAATAAGATTTTAGTATAAACAACATACACAGACAAAAGTGTGTCACATTTAGCTAGCTCAAATATCACAGTTTCAACTTTTGTTATTAGGCATTCAATAAAAATGTGAATAGTCAAATAGCTCAAATATCACAGTTTCTACTTTAGTTTCTACTTTTGTTTTCAGTTGAAGCATCCGACAACTAAAATCATCATTTGCCTATTCTGTAGTAAATCAAAGTACTTATTATTGGATATAGCAGCTGCAAAGCTGCAAATTATTTCTTATTTGCAGGGACAATGTGTTGGCAGTATTCTTGGTTATCACTAGCCCTATTCCATATGACTGTATGTTAGTCCCTCACCAATGTTATGAACATTGCAAACTGACCAATGTTAGGAACATTGCAAACTGTTGGAATAAACCATTTCCTATACTGTAGTCCATTTCCTATAATGTAGTAAATTAGAGTTTCAGATTTCCCTAACTTTATATTCTTTTTTCTGCTTTTGTTTCAGGGATTTCACCTTCAAATATCACAAGTAATCACACAGCACAAATCAACATTTGTAATGAACGAAGATAAGAAAAGATTGTATTTTTTTCTCTATGGATGAGTGTATGGCATGTAATCAGTGTGATAATTTTGTAAAAAGATAGAACATATTGCATTTTTTTCTCTATAGATGAGTGTAGGGCATGTAATCAGTGTGATACTTTTGTTAAAAGATATAAAAGATTTTAGTTTTTCTCTATACTATACAAGAGTGTAGGATATCTAAACATACTTTTTGTTTCTTTTAAATGTTAAATAGCTTTTCTAAAAGTTGTTTCAGTCTAAAAAATAATTTTAATTGTATATAAATGTAAAACACATGATGCATGTTTACTATTTTTTTCAAATGTGTACCCTTAGAACATCTAATGTTGAAGTACATAATAAAATATAATTGATATTTTAAAAACTTTAACATGTAAAACAAGTGACACATATATATAGATATTGGCCATCTAATCCTCTAAGAACAACTAATATTGTAGGACATTGCAGAATATAAATAATACTTAAAACATGTAGAACACATTACACATGTATGTAAATTTTGAAGGGTAATTCCCTTATCACAGAAAAATAGAACACATCACATCAATTTATAAACAAACCATTGCATAATAATCCAAACATACTCTTATAGTTTAAAAAAATATTAAATCTATATGAAAGAAATAAGTTTTTAATTCTCAGATGAAATAGATACCTTAATTGCCTACACTACAAGCATGTAGTTTTCCATCTGGTAAGACAGATTGTTTGAATCCTCTGAGTATATGTTTCCAAGTGTGTATACTGATTTGTGTACCACTATGGATACCTGATTTATTCAAAATAATACCTGACTTATTCAAAATGTTAACATTTTAATGTTATTACAATTTATAAGTTAAATATATACAGTTAAACCAATAGACTCCAAACTAATAATCATATGCTAATTGGTAGTTTCTACTTTTGTATAGAATAATGTAGGACATACCATAATGTTCAAAATAATAACATTTTAATGTTATTACAATTTATAAGTTAAATATATACAGTTAAACCAATAGACTCCAAACTAATAATCATATGCTAATTGGTAGTTTCTACTTTTGTATAGAATAATGTAGGACATACCATAATGTATTCCTCTTAGACAATTTATCAAGCAGGCACAAGCTAAACAGTGACTCAAGCTTAATCGAAAGAATTATTAGACAATCATGGGATTCAACTGCAAAGTCCAAGTGAGCATATAGGGAAATACTTACAATGTAATATGATGTCAATGAGTTCACATTAACATAATTCTATCAGTGCTGAACTTCCAATTTTGAAATACACAAATTTTCCTGCACGAATCCATTATACTAAGTTAGACACTGCCTAAAAAAGCTTATGTATGCCAATGTTAATTTCAACTTAATTAAAATTCAATTAACTAACCAACTTACACTAACAGAGCTTTCCCGTGCGTTATAGTTGTTCCTGTAATATCAAACAGATTTGTTAGGCAAAGTATGTGGCCCATAGATTTAAGGTATACCAGAATGTTCACTCCCAAAATATATAAAAACATATTAATCAGAAAAATCAGAAAAATGTATATATTACAATCTATGCTAGGTGTCAACTATTTATGATTAACCACAAGATATTTTGTGGTTAAATAATGGGAAAGGTTAACAGCACACATAAACTTTTCAGCTTCTCTATGTGCTTGAAAACATGAATAATTAAGTCAATTAGATGTTTTTTTCAAGACAAGCCAAAGAAATGACTCAATAAATAAGACAACCTTCACAACATTATTGAATTTACCACTATTCTTCTGATTCTTCTTAAGACAAAGAACTCATCCTACCAAAACCACAAACCATGAGGAAGATCACATCTTCATGCACCATTGGAGCAAAGAGGAAGCATGGTCATCAAAACAAGGTATTTCCCGAAACTAAACACTTAACTACATTGATTACAGTTAACTTTATGCATATAATAATTCATATGATAGCTAAACCTAGGCTTTTAGGATTAGAAACAACTTATCTGTAAATCAAATGTATTTCTACGAGTCTGACCACATCCTGTGTGCAAAGAACAGTCTCCTCCCAATTAATTAATCTGCAATAACAATAAGAAAAATGATATTAACACTAACCCTAAGCCCTATGTTTGGATTTAAATACGATAATAATCGGCGCAATCAATAAAAATAGATATAGAACACAAAAATCAATAGTAGTTTGAATACTTAGCTCAAAAAGTATTCCGATTTGAGATCAAATCGACGATTGCCTCTTCTACTGATGTTATCGATGTTTTGTTGATAGATCTCGGTCCACAATCAGTCTACTGATGTTATCGGTGTTTTGTTGATAGATCTCGGTCCACAATCAGACCTAATCGAAACGATTCTCTGTAACCCTAAACTCTGCTTCATTTTGCAATATGAGATGATTGCATGTCGCAGATTTGTGTTCAACACTCTGTAATCTTCATTGTGAAGGTGTTTATAGCGAATCCCAACAAAACATGAAATCAAGAACCTAACAAATGCTTTTTCTGAAATGAAATAAACTCTAAAATGTTGTGAAATTACCAGAAATTAGAAAACATACACTCAGAATTCCAGATTGCCTCTCGGATCTCTAAGCTTTCTATAGAGAGATATAGTGTTTCTTCACAGTGCTATGGTGTAGAATTTGAGAGTGAGAACACAGAGAGTGAGAGATGCTTAAGAATCACCGGTCGAAATTGGAGATCACCGGTGATTCTTAAGGCTGGGATAGCGAGAGAGAGAGAGAGAGAGAGGTAGGTCTCTAATCAGACAGTGAGGTCAACAACGCATATTAGGCAACCATAGTCAGGTTTAGCATAAAATCCACTTATCTATTATCTATTATCTTGAATTATATTATATACACAATATTATTATTTATCTATTTATATAAAAAATGAAGGGAACATTTACTAACATTATTTAGTAATATTATTATTTCATAATTCTTAATCTAATATGTATAAGATTCTACTTAGTGACATTATTTTAGAATGTATATATGCTCATTGTTTTAATGTATATATGCTCATTGTTTTAAAATGAGTTTGTTATTTTAGGGTGTTTTTTAGTGTATATATGCTCATTGTTTTAATGTCACTCTTCGTTTCGTTTATATGAATATGAGATTATATGAATTTAATTACATACGCTTTTCTTAATATTCTTAGTTTTTGGAGTATTATAATGACTATTGTTAAATAATTAAATAATAATAATATATCATAAATTACTATAATAAATGTTTATTTTTGCAGTTCATGGTATTACATGGAGAAAATGAAGTTGTAATATGTAATGAAAATGCTGGATCGTCATCAAAAAATACATTTGGTAATATGTCAAATCATAGGAGATTATTCGGTGTATTCCAAGATCCACTTGAAACACAGTGTTGTTATGAATGGTGAGCAACTCTTTTTGTCTACAAGTAATATTTTTTAATTCAAGCCTAAACTTAAAACAAGTAATAACCATTAAAACTATAGTCATCTAAAGTCTAAACTTAGTCTTTTAGATTACTGTTACTGTATATAACAATATAAATCTGAGTTCTATAACATGTTTACTGACTGTTAGGCATCACGAAACTATATAAAAGCTTACAAATACCAGACTTACTCATTGTTTTGTGAATTAAATCTCTACAAAAATGAACGTGTTAAGCTGAAATAGAATAAGCAAATACCAGACAATGTTAATTTCGAGTTGAAAGATGAATCCCATAATCGAAACTATTTTGAAACACCTTGAATCGCCCAGAAATTTCTCCTTAAATCTATATGAACAACGATCGGTGTTCAAAATCGAAGAAATGGAATATCAATTTCTTGCGCGACAGAGCTTCGAATAGCACTTCTCCGACACATAAATGTGTTTGAGAAATCAACTTGCTTGCAAGTAGAAATGAGAAGAATGAGAGCAGAGGTGACGTGGTTTCTAGAATCGCAGCCCAACTCCTACTAACCACAATATATGTATGTATTATATGTAATATATAATATATAATATTATACTCCGTATATTTTATGTATATATATAGTTACCCAACTTCGAAATATGGTAAAAAAAATTATATATATAGTTAAATTATATGTATACATAGTATTTATTTACATAAGGATCAACGGATGTAGTTCCAAATAATAAATTAATAAATTATATAATAAACATTCAATTGTTTAATTATGTACTTAAAATCCTTATAACATTATATTTTATAAGTAATATTGTATACAAAATTAAGTTCGTTCTAATATTTATTGAAATCATGTAATTAGATACATTACTAATGTTGTATATCATGATGTTTTTAATAATTTGTAATTTTGATAAGTTTTCTTTTTTTAATACTATAACATTAATTGCAACTATTTGTAATATACCATTTACATATTATTTTTGTTGAATTCCCACACATATTTCATTTATATGTTATAAATTATAACCGCATTATTTCACACAATTTATAATATAACAACCACAAAATTAATACGTTTTAATTTACATCCCGTGCATCGCACGAGGCAAATACTAGTATTATGAAAAGATGAATTAAAAATAACTTTAGTCAAGTCACATTAATTAAACTAAACAAACAAAATATAACGGAGTGAGTAATTTATAATGATAAAAAATAACATTCAATATGTAAATATAAGGAAATGTTATTAACGATAAATAAAAATATACGGAGTATATCATTTTCTATAGATAAAATGCAATGCATGTTGCTCCCAATGCATTCATCTAATGAATGTAAAATCATATTGGCTTCCAACAACAATATGAGGGTTCAATGTCACAAGCGCATAAGAAAAATAACTTCTTTAGACATTAAAAAAGAATTGACTTGATTTACCTCTTTATAAATTTGAGTGAGCAAATATCAATTTTAATCCTATGAGTATTAGCAAAACGATAAATTCAATCCACATGTTTAATTCCTACCAATTTGTATATGTGATTATTGTTTTAGTACCAATTTTCATCAACGATTATTGTTTTAGTACCAAAATTCATCATACCGGTCACTTCACCTTTTAAGATATGTCAAAATTTAAAATTTTAAGGATATTTTCGTCATTTTTAACTTAAGATCCCAATTTGAGCATGAATAAAGGAATTTAAGCCGTAAGATCAATCTCAATTCGCAGTTCTCATCCTCATCCTACCTTAATTTGATGAGGAGAACTACGAATTGGGATCAATCTTAGAGCTTAAATCTCTTTATTTATGCTCAAATTGGGATCTTAATTTGAAAATGACGAAAATAACTTTAATAATTTCTTATTTCAACATGTCTTAAACGGAGGAGTGACCGACATGATGAATTTTGACACTAAAATAATAATTGTGGACAAAAATTGACACTAAAATAATAATTGTGGATGAAAATTAATAGAAATGAAACATGTGAACCAAAACTATCATTTTGTTAATACTTGAAACTAAAATTGGTATTTACTCAGTTCAAAATATTGACCGGCTTTAAATGTACTTGGACAAAACTAGTACTCCTACTAGGTTAGGTGACAGGAGAAGTCCCCATGTTACATAAAGAAAAAATTATAAATATATTTTGAGAAATTCCCAATTTAAAATACAAACACTATTATTACAAAATAAATACATTAATTAATATAATACGTATCTAGTATTATTGGATTGTAGACTGCTCCTCTTCATCCGCCATTCCTTTTCTCCTTAAGAAATCAGAGCAGCACAGAGCCAAGAATAAAGCACACACTCACAGACCTAAGCAATCACTTCTTTTCTCCTCAACAATGCAAAAAAGCTTAGATCTTTGATACGTATATATCAATGTCTTGATGTATACGCAACTGATTTGTGTAATATTTGATCTTGCTTGCTTTTTAGGGTTTGTTCAGCCTATAGATACAGGGAAAATATCTGTCCGACCCATTGTTGAATGTTAAGTTCTGATTGTAATTTTATGGTTGGTAGCGTGAATCCTTGGGTTTGATACGGAGAGGATGGCGTTTGGTGCTGGTGAGGTGTTGAAGAGGGGCGAGGGGGATAGCAATGGTCACTGTTATGTGAAATTGAAAGGCTATGAATTGGAGGAGGAAAGCGCTGAGGGTGCGTCGTCTTCCTCTTCAGAGGCGGTGATGGTGGGCTGTGAGGGCGGTGGGCGGTGGTGGTGGTCGGTGTGGTGGTGGGCTAAGCTGGCACTCGTCACTGTCTTTCTTGGGGCTTTGGCTGCTGTTTTACTCAAATGGGTCGCCCCATTCTTCATGGATAAGGTCAGATTTCATACTAAAGATTGTTTCTTTTAAGGAAAATAATTGTTCTTCTGCAATTTTAGTGCTGACATTTCCACATATTCGAACTTTGAAGTTTGGCATAACCTTAACTGAGATTTTTCTTAAATTTTCCATAATTAAGGACCAGTAGATAAATTTGTAATCAATGGACTTAAAGATCTGTTCCTTATATTTTCATACTCAAACAATTTTGTGACTAGAACTTGATTGCATAGGAACCCCAACCTTAGTTTAGTTTATTTATTGATATCATGCCTGATCTCCAAAGCTATACTCTATAAGCTCCTTTGCTGCTCGCTAAAATCTCCAATGGAAGTGTATGGGCGTGGTTAAAACTAACAGGTTTGTGGTCCATTTGAGCAATCGTTGCAATTAAGTGGGTGATTCTTCTAGTATCATTCCATTTGATGCTATGATATTTGTGCTTACATCTTACTGAACAATCTGGAAGGTTATCGGACTTTTTCATCATTGGTTGTGAGTGATCTGATGCTTATACGCCAAGCTCTTTGCCTTTCACAGGAAATCATACCTATAATAAATTGGGAGACAAAAACTTTCAGTAGGCCAGTTCTTGCAGTTTTAGTCTTTGCTTCTGTGGCGTTTTTCCCCACATTGTTTTTGCCTTCTACTCCCTCCATGTGGGTGGCAGGGATGACTTTCGGATATGGTTATGGATTTCTACTAATCATTGGAGGTGCAGCTATTGGTGTATCGCTTCCATATTTCATAGGCTATCTTTTTCAAAACAAAATACAAGTAAGCAATTGCGTTTCTTTAATTGTTCGTGGCAGTTGTTGGCCTCATTTGGATTGCATTCTTGAATTGAAATATTGACTGTTTTCATTTTCAGGATTGGCTAGACAGATATCCTAAGAATGCTTCTATCATTAGACTAGCTGGTGAAGGGAATTGGTTTAATCAGTTTCGAGCTGTGACATTGATTAGAATTTCTCCTTTTCCTTACATAATATATAATTACAGTGCAATGGCTACAGGAGTCAAGTATGTTCCTTATTTGTTGGGTTCATTGATTGGCATGGTGCCAGAGATATTCGTTGCAATTTACACGTAAGATCTCTCTCTCTCTTTATCTCCCAACCCTCCGCCCCCCAACAGTTTCCGAGTCATGGATATACTCAACAACTCATATACATTATACATGGGTGTCGTGTAATGAGAAATACCTAACCTTGTTTGTACCAACTTCTTTGCCTTGGAAAAGAACGTAAATTTTGAAATCCATTGTTTTATTGAAGAAGACACAAGAAAGCATAGCTGAGGCCCATCTTATTTGGTGGCACAACTAATCACACTGGATTATAGCACAATTGACTTTAGCATTTCCCGATTAATACTTTTATCTTCAAACTAATAATCTATCTTCTTCTTCTTCATTTTCAGTGGCATTGTGATAAAGACACTGGCAAATGCATCACAGGACGGGAGCTCTCTATCAGCTGTACAGATTCTTTGCACCGTCTTAGGTTTTTGTCTCACGATGGCAACT